CCTCTCCCTACAGTGGTGGCTCAACCTGTGGCAGCGGGGGAGGGTCAAACAACTCCCTCCTCTGTTTTCGGCCTTGCTGGGTAGCAATGAGTCTCTCCAGTATCTCAAATATCTGGTCAACATCTTCCCTAAGCGAACCATCCCGGGGATATCTAGTAATCGTTTCTCATTTCACCCGATAGGAGGTTTGCCCTGATCCAGGCTCCCCCTTAGGCTCCAATGGCAGGACGTGGTAAGATCTGTCAGCATTGTGGAAGGGATCATGGGGACCGACCCTACTACCGCCTCAACAACACCTGTCGCATATGTGGTAGTGCCCAACATTATGCGAGAGAGTGCCCAAAGAACCAGAATCAGGGCAGACTTCCTATCTAGGGCAGAGCTTACAATCTCACATAGCAGGATGCTGAAGCCAACTCGGACGTGGTACAGGGTATGTACACTATCTGTAACTATCTTGCTCATGTTTTGATTGACATTGGTGCATCGCATTCATTTGTTTTACCTGTTTTTGCATCAAAATTTAATGTATTACTTGATAAACTTGATTTCATGTTGTTTGTGTCTACTGTTAGGAGTATGACACTATTGGGAGAAGTTGTCTATAGGGCTTGTGTCGTAGAGATAGCAGATAGAGAATTAAGCGTGGACCTAATAGAATTAGACATGAGAGATTTTGATGTAATTTTAGGAATGAATTGACTAACGGCGTATCACGCCACCGTAGATTGTTTTAGCAAGAAGGTTGTATTCAATCCTCCTAATGAGGAGCCATTTATAAATTAATAAAATTATTTAGCACTTATTCCTTCACGACAAATTTCTTATTTGTCGAGTACTTTAACCCTACTGTTTTCTCTAATTAGGCAAACTCAACAAAGAGAATTGTATTCAAGAGATTCCGGTAGTCCGAAACTTTCAAGATGTGTTTCCGGATGAACTACCCGGATTATCAGTGGACAGTGAAGTCGTATTCACCATAGACCTCCAACAAGACACCGAGCCTATTTTAGTTGCTCCTTACCGCATGAGCCATTTTGAGATGGAGGAACTGAGGAAACAGATCACTGAATTGCAGGAGAGTGGTTTTATCAGACATAGTGTGTCCCCTTGGGGTGCCGGAGTCACTTTTTCCAGAAAGAAAGATGAGACGTTGAGGTTATGTATTGATTATAGAGGGTTGAACACAGTTATAATCAAGAACAAGTATCCCTTTTTCAGGATTGATGAGCTCTTCGATCAGTTGCAGGGTGTGCAGGTCTTCTCCAAAATAGACCTATGTTCAAGTTACCATCAGGTAAAAATCAAGACAGAAGACATCCCAAAGACAGCCTTTCGAACCAGGTACGGACACTATGAGTTCCTAGTTATGCCATTTGGGCTAACCAACGCCCCAACCATCTTCATGGATATGATGAACAGGGTCTTTAGACAATTCTTGGATCAATTTGTTATCGTGTTCATCGATGAAATTCTGGTTTATTCAAAAAACAGAGAGGAACATGCTCACCATCTAGTTTAGGTTTTGCAGGTTCTTAGAGGAAAGAAGTTGTATGCAATGTTAAGTAAGTATGGATTTTGTCTTGAGCAGACCACCTTCCTGAGACACATCATATCAAAGGATGGAGTGTCAGTGAACCCTGAAAAGGTTGAAGCAGTGTTTAGTTTGGAGAAATTGACATCAGTTAAAGATATTTGTAGCTTTCTTGGAATGGCGGGCTATTACGGCTGGTTTGTACAAGGGTACTCTAGTGTAGCTACTCCCGTTACCGGAGTCGCAAAGAAGAATGTCTAATTTGAGTGGAATGAGGACTGTGAAAGAAGTTTTTCAAAACTAAAGAAGCGGCTGACTACTGCATCTGTGCTGACCTTACCGAGTAGATCGGGGGGATATACAGTTTACAGTGATGCCTCCTATATAGGTCTGGGTTTTGTTTTAATGCAGCATGGGAATGTTATAACCTATGGGTCCAGACAGTTAAAGAGTCATGAGAAAAATTATCCCACCCATGACTTAGAGCTTGCCGCAATCATACACGCCTTGAAGACTTGACCATTGTTTGATTTGGGATTTGAAACACGATTGCATTATCGGATGCATGTTTATTTGTTTATGTGATTATATTTGATTTGGTAATGGAGACTAAAGGAAAACAGGAAAGGGGTGTGATCAAATAAACAGATGGAATTACAACCTTACTAGATATCCTAGGAGATGGTGGATGGATCGGGTACATGAGGAACCCTACCGTGAATGTTGTCTCATACCAGACAGGGTATGGAGACTTAGTAATTTGACGCTCATACCGGACGGGATATGGGGACGACCTGCTTCACTCTCATACCAGACGGGGTATTGAGGTTTAATGTCTTGGCACTCATACCGGATGGGGTATGGAGAAGGCCCTGTAATTGAGATTTTAAAGGAAAGGGTTACATGTAGCGGGAACATCCCTATGAACCCTTATGGATACTAATAGGCTGGTGAAATGAGAAACGGTTATGATTTGATTTATTGTTAATGGATATGAATATATGATATGTTCTATGTTGCTGATTGTTTATAAAATTATGATATGTACGATATTATTATCTCTATAGATTGTTTTCATAAATTTCACTATGGTAAGTGATTGGTAAATGATTTTATGATTGATAAACGAATTTGCTAAATTTAGTGCTCCATTAGTTGTTTTGATTTTATACCAACTTTTGCTTCTGTGCGGTTTATATAGTGTGATATCCTTATTGGATTAGTGTAGCTCATCCTTTATTTAACCATTTCAAATCAAGAGAACCTGATTCCAGAGCCCGATCCGCAGGAACATTGCGAGTAGATACTACATACTTTTTATTTTCCATTACTTTTCTTATTTCTCGTGTTTCTTTTAGAAAATTCATTCCGTAATGTTTGTTTAGTACTTTTAAGTTATTGTGTAAGGGATGTAAATCTTAACCTTTTATTTCACTTCCGCACTTAAATTATTATATATTTCTTTTTTTATTTCCGTGGCCGTTACACAACTTGTCAAAGTATTCTTTGGGCATTTTTCTATTCTTTAAAATTTTCAATGATCTTAGTTTCTATCACTTTATTGATAGATGGTTTAGAATTTAAGCTTTTTGTGCCTTAATGAGCGTTGTGTGAGTTCTATATTACATCGTTGATCCTGAGTCCTACACCACTCACCTTCAGAGATGTCGTATTGATTCTTCTTATACAAGGTGAACAACTCATTCACAATGTTTCAGATGCAACTAAGAGCATAATGAACCCTCCACAATGCTTGTTTGCACAACCCATACTCTTTCACTAGCTCCAACTTAGCATCCAAATACTCTATCCCATAAAGATGGGAGGTTTCTTGAACAACAATTTGAATTTTTTTTTTTTATGTAAGTTTTAATTAATTTTCTTTTTTGCCTTAACACATAAGCCTTAACTTATATTGTTCTCTCTTCAAACAAAGGTTTAATTCAATTTTTTTTTTCTGTTTAAATTCAAAGAAGTTAATGCTTTTAAAACAAGTGGAGAGCATTAGTTTTTTTATTTTTAACAAAAAAAAATTAAAAATCAAATTATTGTAAGTAACAAATATTAAAAACTAATTTGATTGATTGCCTATAAAATTATTATGGCCTTGGTAAAAAAAAAAAAGTAGTTATTATCACCTCATAGCAATTTGTAGTAAAAATAAGATGAAGGCTCCACAAAGATCATCCATCAACATAGAGATAGAACCTCTATTCCAATGATATGACACATACAAAAATTTGGATTGGAGCATTATTAATTTAGGGAGACAAAAGCTTAAATGATAAGCCCAACTTTGTCTTCTAACTAAAATGATTAGAAGATTACATAATTTTGCTTTGAATTTAATTTCAGGGTTAAAAAATGATAATAGTAATAAATTTAATTTATACCTTATAAATTATAAGATATACATAATTTTGTTTTTACAAGGTCACAAAATATTTGGAGATTGAATTATATAAGCTTTTGGGACTCTATATAAATTACAAAGATCATTGCTATGTGCAGCCCCTTTAATAATGATTTTAATTATTAAGATCTAACTTCATGGCCCCACCTTAATAATGATTTTAATTTTTTAGTTAGACATTATTTTTAATATTAATTTCATGTCAATGTGTTTGTGGACCCCTTCCATTTTATTTTTTAGGTATAAATTACTTTTAACATTAATTTCATGTGGGTGAAGGCTAGAATTTCTTTTCTTTTCTTTTTCTTTTTTAAAGGAAAGGTGAAGGATAGACTTCTTGTGTGCTTGTATTTGTTGTTTTATATTATTCTACTTTAACTATTTGTATGCAAATATGTTTTATATAATAAAATTGGTGTGTAGTCTTAAAAGGTATCATGTTCTTTTTTTATTAAAAAAATCTCATATTTTTCATCATAAAAAATATCACATTTTTCATCATAAAAAATGTCACATTGTTTGGTCAATGTTGCATTGTGATAGATATATTTAGGAGTGATAAAGTACTGATAGAAAATTTAACTTTTCTTAATATATTATTTTCAAAATATAAAAAGGGCTTTATATAGGAAAAAAGATACATGCATATGGTAAATTACACATAAATATATCTATATGCACCTTAAAATTTATGTACCTACATGCATCTTAAAATTCATGTATTTATTTAATGAATACATGCACCTTAACATAAACGTGTATTAATAAAAGACTTAATATAATAACATATCTGAACATAATTGTAAAATGCTATTTTACGTACATAAGGTTCAACTTTATTTTTACATGAATCCTATCTGCACTGGGGGAGATATATTTTGCTGTTACAAATAGAGTTGGAGGAAAGATAAAAGATGGAGAAAAAGGAGATACATTTCGTGTTGGTTCACGGAGTATGTCATGGAGCATGGTGTTGGTATAAGGTGGGGAGTCTATTAAAAGAATCAGGCTTCAAAGTTACAACTCTTGATATGGCTGGTTCTGGAGTCCACCCAAAGCAACTGGATGAGATTCATACCATTTCAGACTACGCCGAGCCATTGATGAAGTTCATGGCCTCAATTTTACCAGAAGAGAAGGTAGTTCTGGTTGGTCATAGTATGGGTGGGATTTGCATATCAGGTGCCATGGAAAAGTTTCCACATAAAATCTCTGTTGCTGTCTTTGTCACTGCTATATTGCCTAGTTTTAACCTAGGCTTAACTGTAATCTTGGAAGAGGTATTGATTCTATCTCTCTCTAGAGTGTAGATGGATTAGAATCCTTCTATCTTACAATTATGTTTTATCATAATCTTTGAATGAATTAGAGTAGATGGACTAAAATCTTTTTACAATACTTTTGTGTTATATCATAATCTTTGAGTAAATGAATAATATGAAACCCTGTAAATTAAGTTCATTGGCGGAGAAAAGTAACTTCTTGAATAGTGGCAAAATATTCTAGTTTCGTAACAAAGGATACATAAATAATAAATCTTTAGGTATAGCTTTCATTTGAATAATTTATATTCAATTTTATATTTGATGTTTTATGATATGATAGTCAATTCCTAAAACTCTAGAAGCTTTCTTGCACGTACAAATAGTCTTAAGCTATTTTGTTGAACTTAACACACTATTTGTAATTGGTGTAAAATAAGGGAATAAAAATAATTTTCCAACTTTCTCCTTGAGGGATTTCTTCTCTTTTCCGTACAAAAAAAGTTAAAACCATGAGCTTGCAGTGCTTTCGAAGAGTGGAGGATCATATGGACTTGCAATACGTGTTTGATGATGGGAAAAATAAGCCTCCCACAAGTATGCTATTTGGGCCCAACTTCTTATCTTCTGAGCTTTATCAGCTCTCCCCTCCAGAGGTGATATTGCTTGACATAGTTTTAACATTTCAAGTCTTTTCTTTTTAAATTTAAACTATAATTCTTTACTTGGATATATGCTGTGGAAAAGATTACGCATTGTCTTTACATGCTATAACACATAGGAGGTGAACTTAGTAGTAGGAAACCATTGGACTGAGGAGCCAAAGATCTTTAGTTTAACTAGTGACACATGGCATTATTTTTAAGAGGATTATGTAATGCTATGTTTGGGTTTAAGTTAATAAAGGGATAATAGCTTCCATAAAATTAGATATGTTTTAATACTTTTTAACTTGTTAGTTAGTTTATCCTTGTCATTTTAACTGATGTAGGACTTGTTGCTGGCAACAACATTGATGAGACCTGCGCGTTCATTTTTTGATCCGACACTTTCAAGCAATGTAGTAGTCACTAAAGAGAGATTTGGGTCAGTTCACAAAGTTTACATCATTTGTGAAAAAGATAGGGTGTTAAAAGAGGACTTCCAAAGGTGGATGATTGAGAAAAATCCAACGGATGAAGTAATGTTGATCTTTGGCTCTGATCACATGGTTATGTTTTCTAAACCTGTAGAACTATGTTCTTGTCTCAAATATATTTCAGATAAATATTCTTGATCTCGAAGATATTTAGCAAGGAGAAAAAGGAGAAATTTTAAAGAATGTTTGTTTCATACATGATAGACTGAAGGCGATTATTTGAAGATTTAAGAATTTCTACATGAAATATAAAGATAAATAAATAAAGATTGGAATTAGTGAACTCTTCTCCATCACAGATATAATGTTTTTACTTTTATATTGTTATTTCAAATAGAGCTTACTATCTGAATACAAATTCTCTATAAGAGAATTGGAACTATCAACCACTCTACTAAAGGTGATTGGTTAATTTTCGGTATTATTTACAAAAAATATAAGTATTAAAGTTCATTTGATAGTTTTATTTAACCTGTCAGATCCTAGAAAAATTAGAATATATATATATATGGATGGAAGCATTGGTGTATGAAGAGAACAGTGAAATATACAACAAATGGAAAGGAAAAAAAAAAGAACGTTCAATCAAATTGAACAATTCCGAATCGGTTCCTTATTCGGTGAACCGACATGAACAGTTTCTTCATCCTCATTCAGACTAGGACAACTGTTCATCTTATTCTCTCCAGCCGACACGTCTTCGCCTGAACAGACAACTTTCCTTCATCATTTCGATTCATGGGGACGATTTTCATGTATTTAAAGGATAGATTGTAAATAAGGTGTATCACGTAATTTTTGAAATGAATCTCAAATAATATCTATCTCTTTTGATTTATTACTTTGCTTCTATTTTCTTCTCTGTTATCTTCCTCTATTTCTCTCTCTAACATCTTCTTTCTCTATCTAAAACCACTCTCTCTCTCCCCGACACCCTTTCTTCTCTCTTTTAAAAGCCTTTTTTATGATATTCCAATTATTTCCTCTCTAGTTTTTTTAATTTTCATATTATCCCAAATCATTTAAATTTGATATTTTACTAAAATTCGGGTTTGGTGAATTAAATGTCAAAGTCAGGTCCTAACAACTTGGAATCAGAGCAGTTCGATTCTAACGAAACTCTTGCAACTTTTGTGACTGTGGTGAAAAATAAGGGCAAAGCTATAGTGTCTGAATTATAAAAATAAATACGTTAGAGGAAAATATACATTAGATGGATAAAAAAATTTAGATTTAAGATCCGAAATATATGAATCACAATAGCAACCCCAGCCATAGTGGACCAACGACTGATTATGTTTGGCCAACAATTGGAAAGGCTCATTAAAATCGTTCAAAGCAGTATACGAATTGGTAAAACAGCCTCTCGGGTAAATCCCTCTGCCTTTATTTAAAATGTTGATAGAGGAATATTACTAAAACCAAGAGCCCAAGAAATTAGGGTTTATAGCTCGGGTCAGAGTGGTAACCAAACTGGTAACCCTATCCCAAAAATTTAAATTCCTATTTTTGATGGGCAAAATCCTAGGACATGGATAAGACGATGCAACAAGTATTTCCATGTTTTCAACATCCTAGAAGATAGTAAAGTGGAAACAGCCTCATTGTATTTTGGAGACAATGTAATCTGGTTCCATGGGTTAGTAAATGACCCAAATATATTTGAATGAAAAGTATTCGAGATAGAATTATGTAAAAGGTTTAGAGAATTAGCTAGAGTTGATATTATAGAGGAATTCCAAAAGTTGATTTAGGAAGATACCGTTCTCCAGTATCAAGAAAATTTTGTAGAAATAAGGTCCCTAATATTAATAGAGAACCTTGGACTTTCTAAAAAATATTTCATCTCCAGTTTTACAAGTTGTCTAAATGATGAAGTTCAATCGACAATAAGGATGCATTGGCCACACAACTTGACTCATGCACTTGAGTTGGTTTTATGGCAAGAACAAACGGTAGATGCCATCAGCTGCCACAATAAACTGAAGCACTCTACAACTTCTTCTAAAGGGATTGTTCCCATCATTGAAAATTCTCCTAAACTTAATGTAGAAGGGTATGGGAGGATCGAATCAACTCCTAAAACCCATTCAACGTATGCAATACCAAAACTATAATCGCCTAGAATAAAACCCTCCCTCTAATTGAATCTACAATCCTAAAAGGAATGCAAAAATAAAGAGTAGGGAAATAAAATAAGGAAAGAAAAAATGCAACAGACTTATCGATAAGTTGATCTCCGGTCCTTAGCTCAACAAAACTTCTGAAGGCTCCTGCTTTCTGAAGAACTTGAAGAAGCTAATTTTAGCAAAAATGCTAAAAAGAAGAAAAGTCTAAGCTTTCAAGAATTCCCTCAAATTGATTGTAATTGAGTGTGTTTACAACCTATGAGTAAAAATCTATTTATAGCATTTCCTGGGCAATCTAAATGAGTACAAACTCTTGAGATAATTTAACAAAATAATACCCTAGATAAAATTTTATCTAAATCTAATATAATTGCGTAATAAAATAATTATTCTATCCTAAATAAATTAATTAAATAATTCTAATGATAGAATTATAATAAAATAATAATTAAAATAATCTAATATTTATCCCAAGTGAATTCCATGTAAAACATATGTGGAAATTAATTTAGACATGTGAGATTTTTAATTTAAAATGTGAGTAATTAAAAAGTGGATCTCAAAAGCCTTTTAAAATTTTAAAATAATAAAATAAATAAATATTAAATAACTAAAAAGGGAATGGGCCGGCCAGGTTTGGGTCACTCAGATGGGCCGAACTAGGTTTGGGTCACCCGAATGGGTCGGGCCGGCCAGTCTGTGCGGACTGCACAGGATAAGGCCCGCAAGAGTCGCGGGCTAGTGGGCTTTGGCCATTTGGACCGTTTGCGGGCCCGTTCGCATGGGGTGTGCTCATTCAGCCCGCTGGGCATACGCGCGCACGGTCGATTTCGCACGGGCCTATAGGGCCATGGGTGTGGGCACTCTCAGGTGCTCATACGGGCAGTTCGCGCAAGCATGTGTATGTGTTCGGGGGTCGTGCAGGTTGAGCCACATGTTCGGCACACATGTGGGCCTCCTTACTCGTGTGTGGGCCTCTAGGTCTCTGCGTCGAGAAAGTTGCATGTCTCTTATTTTTTTACGGAGTATAAAGTTGTCTTGACTGCTTCACTACGGGATCTTGGAACACTGACGGATGAGTGGGCCAAGTATCTTGTACATGTGTTGCGACACATGTGTACCCAAACTTAAACTACATTCAGGTTTCTTCTTGGGTCAGGATTTTCGGGCCGAGCCATTCTTTAGCAATAAGACCCATTACTCTTTGAGTTTCTAGCAACTTCTAATGTCATTTCTTCCTAGACTGGGAACTCTGTTTGGTAGATTTGATCTCGTTGTTTGATACTTCGTCAGGAATAGAGTAGTTTTGGATATTGTTACCTTTCAATTACTTTCTTTCGTTTCCTGTAAGCTTATTTATACTTGCTCCCTTCTTGCACTCTTCTGGTTTAGGTGTGGTTTCAGCGGGTATCGCGTCATCATCTCATTCTTCGAGAGGATTCATACTTGAATCAGTAGAGACTATAAACTTCTCATCTAAGGTCAATGAGGATAAAGGATTTACCAGACATTCGA